TCCATTAATATTTTGTTTAACTTGACTATAAAATCCTATTTTTAAGAGAAAATCGACTCATTAATGATGGTCCTTTATCTAATCTGGTTATAATTATTTAATCATTTTCCTCCTATTCCGAACCAGAATGGAAATGTGCTGGCGAGATAAAATTGTATCAATAATCCAACCCAGCCCTCAATATTTTTGTATTTATCGTTAAGTAAACTACGACTATGTATGTAAAAAGCTTGAATAATTTTCCTCGTGTACATAAGTATTAATAGCTGTCAATTAAGCAGAAAAGTGGGAGATGTCACATCACTCACGCTACGAAGTAATTGGTCTGCACTTGCCAATTATTCAAGCCAAGTCTTCCACTTGACTTGACGAAATAATAAGTGATTCACCTTGCACTGGACGGAATCCTTAAGACGCCTGCATGATCAATTCCACGATAAAATAATGATCACTTAGTAGCTTACTAACTGGGTTTGTATGCGCATTAAATGAGGGCCTTGTGTTATTATTATAACACAAGAAACCCCCAAAAATTGGCTGCACATTTTATGTCAAATTCCTCAAAGTTGTTAATATTTTGTGAAATGGATATATGGAAAAAATGCAATAAAATATAGCCTTGATTTTCGTTAATGAGATTCCCTCCACGTTTACATGCATGCATAAATTCAGGGTGTTGAACGAACATAAAAAAGTGGCGTTGTACAGGAAAATGTAAAATGACCCCAGCATGAAAATTATAGGAGTTATGACCTTTGACCTCATCCTTATGGTCGTGTGGTGGTCGGATGTCAAAAATATTGACGGGGTTGATTTCGTGGTGAAATTTCCTTTAAAATGACACCCCGTATGAAAATTAAGGTAAAATTTAATTTTGGCGCTGTGGGGGGTGGTCTAATTGACCCCATTTTCGAACTGGATCAAGAATTAAAAATTAGAAGCACAATGGCGACAGTGAGGTTTGATCCTGTTGAAGTGTTCTAGAGATATCCTGCCCACGGACAGACAGATGGACGGACGGACAAAGCGACCACAAAAAGCAGCCCACGGACTTAATAAATCAGTGATTTTTTTCTCACTGCAGGTGATACATACATAAAATTGGTACAATTTATTTAAGGAAATAAGAATAATCTGGAACCTGTATCGTTTTCCAATATTTTGTTAGGTTTCCCTTCACTCAAAGAGTAATAACCAATTGGTGCTAATTAAATTGTCAAGTACAGATTGCTTCATATTTAATATTCGTAATAACAACTCTGACTTTGACTTCATCTCATAATTAGGCAAGGATTGAAATTGTTCCGTAATTAAAAAGTTAATTAGACACTGACTGAAGTGGGCGATTCATTAAGTTTTGCAGAACGTCTGTCTGTCTGCGAGTAAGTAACAAGCATTTAACCTCAATAACAGAAATGTACATTCGAAATTTGTGGGTTTTGTACTGGACTCTTGTCAGTCAGGCAGATAACAAACCACGACCGGCATGAATATTCAGTAGACGATAAAGAAGAACACAAACCAGTCATAATTATACATTTGCGACTAATTTGGGTTTTGGTCTTCTCTTCTGTACAATGTCAGTGGCCGCGGAAGCTAGGGGGACATCGGGGGACATTAGGATAGGGGGTTATATATGTATAACATGGGGAGATGATGGGGACATTGAATAATCATACCTGTTCACTTTCATTCATTTGACTGATTATGATCGTGAATGAAAATGAATTTCCTGTCATTTGAATGAAAATGATTGAAGGATTCCATCATTTCAGATGAATGACTGTGAATGAAATGATTTCTCACTCCTTTCATTTTTCACCCTATGCTTAATACATGAGACGAAGTAAGAAATCAAGTCTAAAGAAGTGAAGTGAAATGAAATGAGTTTGAAAGAAAATGAATGTGAATGTGAATGAAAATCTTAAGTCAGAAATTTGGATGACTGACTTTTGAATGAAAATTTTGTTTTTGAACAGGTATTCGAACAACCGTGGGGACATTGCCCCTCTATCCCAACCCTTCCGCGGCCACTGCTTCTGTACATTATTCGTACATAGAAATGGAAATTTGACATCGTTAACCTCTAGTACAAACAGGCGAGCAGTGTCTCCTCCGCCTTTCTCCTAATTACTAAGCGTTGCTCTTGCTTTATTTAATGTGTTCTTTTGTCAAATTCGTTCGTGACAGAAAATAAATACGACAAATGTGATGTAGATGTTGCTTGTTTCGAAAGGAAGGAGAGATTAACGGTTTCACTTTATGTTTTTGTGATCTGCTGCTGGATGTCTGGAGTTTGATCCACATTAATGCGACGACAGTCTCAACTCACTCGAGCTACTCTTGAAAACGAGATAAATTACAGAATAAAGTGTCGTTCCGACCATCAGGCAGGATTTGTGAAAGTAGTTGTCGTCAAGCTCTTATTAAGTACACAGTGGCCGCGGAAGCTTGAGGGGACAGACAGAGGGACAATGTCCCCACAGTTGTTCGATGTCCGCATCATCTGCCCATCTTATATAAACCCGTCCCTTCCCTATCCTCCAATGTTAATGTCCACACAGCTTCCGCGGCCACTGAAATATACATTGGTCGTCCCTAAACTTTGCGAAATTTGCAAGAGATAAGATAGCTCCGACATAAATATGCACTCTTTAACCTCTCATTCGCTATGAAATAGCAATTTAAACGTAAATATGCATGTTAATAATTAGTCGAAACTAATGTTATTTATGCGACCCTGTGTAAGTAAACAAACAGATAAGTACATATTTTATTTAAAGACGGAAGTATTTGGACCACCACGCATCGTTGACATGGTCAACTTTTGGCATGCAAATTAACTCACAATGAGAATTCCCTTAATCAAATTACAAATCCTGAATTCCACCCTCCAACCAAAATAGGATGTCACATTCTTTGAAATAATTGATAATGGAGAAAAGTTCCAAAACTGGAGCAGCTAAAATTGCCCTTGACCCTGCTTTCTAAAAAATGCTCATTGTTTCAAATTATGTGTTTGTAAATACTAATAAATTGAATTTATTAGTGCTACATACGCATTTATTTATTTGACACTGGATGCCACCAGTGGCCGCGGAAGCCGTGGGGACATGGGGGGACGTTAACATTGTAGGATGGGGAGGGACGGGTTTATATAAGATGGGGAGATGATGCCGACATCGAATAACCGTGGGGACATTTTACACGCTTCCGCGGCCACTGGATTTCACGTTAGTTATTTACTTGCTCATTCAATTAAGAGAAGAATGGTCAGCCTACTCGCCATAAAAATGGGTGCCAGATGTGCCGAATTCATTGATTATTAGCCCATGAGTGAGTGACATTTGTTCATTCCGAGCTCAAATAGAGGACATTTCCAATTCCCACTGTCACAAAGTATTTGACTTGCAAATATGATGCGTTATGCAGAGAAATAGAGTCAGGCAGATCGGATATACACAGAAATGACATGACATTCTCCACTGCGACACATTTCCGACAGCTGGAGGGAAATTTTATAAAGTGCGATTTTATTCAGCCACCTACACACAAGCAGTGGCCGCGGAAGGACAGAGGGATAATATCCCCATACGGTTATTCGATGTCCGCATTATTTTCCCATCTTATATAAACCCTTCCCTCCTCCCCATCTTATAATGTTCCCAAATGTCCCACAGCTTCCGCGGCCCCTGCCCACCATTAGTAACCGCTTTTACTAGATTGACTTGTCACTACTTGTCATGTCAGTACAATTTTGCGATGAGAATGACGCCCCTCGAATCAAATCGGGAATAATAAATGGAATGAGTAGGTATTTAGCTGCATAATGATACATTTTAGTTTTAAGCTGATAATACAGTGGCCGCGGAAGCTTGGGGACATTGTCCCTCTGTCCCCACGGTTGTTCGATGTCCGTATCATCTCCCCATCTTACATAAACCCCTCCCTCCCCCCATCCTACAATGTTAATGTCCCCACTGCTTCCGCGGCCACTGCATAATATGTTCATGCGTTGAGTGAAGTTATTACTTTTACGGAGGCAGCAAAAACTCCATCGTGCAAATATTAGCAGACAAATATAACATCATTTTATGCGTTGTGTAGGTCGAGAAAACGCTTCGCGAAATTTGTCTCGCAAAATTTAATTATTTATCTGCCTTCACTTTTCTCTCTCGTACTAAAAAAGAAGGCAAATAGAGATTTTCACATGACAAAATGGAAAATTGTGTGAAAATTCGAAATGTCAAAGACCCCGGAGCTGCATAAGCTACACACTCATTTTATTTGAATAATGAAGAAATGAATTTTAAAATTAGACATTTCATATTTCATTAAAGTTTTGTCAAATTGAGCAAAATCCAATCCACCCACACTTTGTTTGCCCGAAGGAGGAGGAGGTTATTACTTTTGTCACGCAAAAATGCGCGATAAACACATGTCTGTCCATAATTATTGATAAGAGCAATATCCATTTTACATATGTAAAGTGCAATATCCAAATGTTTGATAAGGCTTGTGTAGAGAAGAGTTGAAAGAACTGCATGCCTGTGAACTTGGCCAATTTTTTGCACATTTCACATTTTGCACATACATATATTAGCATAATGATTAAGATAAAGAGAGAGAGATGGATTTACTACTATATATATGTAATGTTCTGGTGGTTCTGTTTTGTGGTAAATTTTAATGTCATTTTATCCAGTGTAAAGTTGATAAAGTGAGGAAAGTAATGCTTCTGGATTTGAATGCTTATTAGTTCCAAAGGGGTCATGACCTTTGTTTATTTAAATATTGTAACTATTTTAACCAATTTTAAATAATTTGCATATGCATTTATTTACATGACATAATAATTAATATCGTATCGGCCATGTGGCAATTAAATAAGCTAATATTTAACGCTTTATGAGGGCAGATGAAATGTGTGCAATTTGTGTAAATGGGTATGAATTCGATGCACATTTTGTACATAAAAGGAAGAAATTTGTTCTACTTACCTGCGTTTTTAAATGATAATGATTGAGTTCTTAAGTATGTCCGGATGATGTATGGAATGGTTGCTATATTTCCTTAAAATTTCAAAGTTTCCAGATCACTTATTTGGCTGCACTTATTAAATAGTTTTATACAGTTCAGTGCTTAATTTTTTCTAAATACACACTTGATTTGATCAAATCCTCTTTTTCTTCCTTCCTTCCTAAAATATTTCCACTTTTGTCCTAAAAGTTAATGCACTTTGGTAAATATTCACTCTTTTGAAACTGGGCTGCACCGTGTCGAAGGAAAACTTTTAGAAATTACTTAATTTGAGACAAAAATTCTGTTAAAATGTAAAAATGTCACACTTTTCTTCTCACCAACAGAGAATACGTTCGTATTATTAGTGGAACTTGTTACGTTCGTATGAACGGATCCAATCCAACCAAGTAGATAAATTAGACGTTAATACTTCTTAGCTGCCAAACCCACACTTACTTTCCTTCGTTGAACACAGAACAAAGTGTGAGGATTGGATTTGCAAACCAGCCAGCTTGTGAATAATGAAACGAAACCTTTTTGTCCTTTTTTCTCTCAGGATGAAAGTGAAGCTCTTCTTGCTTCGTCTTCGTCTTCTTCGATTGATGTTTTAAGATGAACGACGAAGAACGTGCTGGTGTTGGTGGAAGGAAGCGAGGAGCAATCAATTAAAAAAAGTTTTAATTAAAGAAGCAACTGTTTCAAGATTTTGAGTCAAGTAAAATTTCTTGCTGACTCAACTTGTCAAAAGAGTCTCAATAATTTGGCATCTTTCGGAATATTATGGGGATTGGGTTGGGTTTGATTTGTTTGTGAGATTGATTATTGAATTGATGATACTGCGAATTCAGCAAGTTTTTCTGAAGGAAAATGGATCCTTTTGGATGAGTGATGATGAATCGGAATCTGGAGGAGGATTGGAAAAATGAGACAAAAATTGTGATCTGGATTTAAAAATCTTGGTCTTAATTCCCTGTGCTGATTATGAAATAAGAATGAAGCATTATGTTCGGTAACCTCGTGTGGATGTGGATATGAATGCGTTATAGATATGGATATACAATACGTATTTATTATTTACGCATGTAAACTAATAATAATACGGCTTTTCATACATATTTGAAGTACAATGTGACGCGGATTTCTCTCCTCAATGTGAGTGACTTCCTTGTCCTTGTTATTATACAAATTTTAGGTACTTTTCACCACTTTGTGGGTGAAGGTGGGTATATTCTTATTGAAATGGTTTGTTTGTTTCTAAATATTGAAAATTTTGGGTACGCATGCATCAGTGGCCGCGGAAGCGTGGGGACAATGTCCCCATCACCTGCCCATGTTATATACACATAAACCCCTCCCTCCCCTATCCTAAAATGGCAATGTCCCCAGATGTCCCCACGGCTTCCGCGGCCACTGAGTACGCTGGTATATATCTCTTAACTTGACCGAGATTTAATTAAGGAAGCTTGCCTTCATATCGCTAAACTATGCAAACTAATTGAAAAATTTAGTAATTGATACCTAGCAAATTGATCCTTTATGCTAAACTTATTGCAAAAATGCATCTTACCTTGATACTAATTTCCACCTGGCTCAATTAAGCGAAAAACAAATATAGATTCTTATGTATGCAAATAGCTCGATAACCAACCGGCACAAACCAACAAACAGGAGCACAAAAATATACGCGTATGTATTCCAGCCTAATTGAGGATTCTTCTGCTAACTCCGTTAACTACACACCTTTTAAGACAGCAATTACATTCCAGCCCCAGTAACTCCTTAATTTCGTTGGAGAAGTCGATATTTAACGGAGAAAAAGAAGAAGTGGTTATCGTTTGTCTTTTGTTGGCTCGGAACTGGAACTGGATTCATGTGCATGTGGCTTTATCGGTTCATTATTTGGTTGCATGACTTTGCCAAAGTCAGTCAGCTTTGGTTGGTTGGTTGGTTAGTTGTTAAGAGCATACATATTTCGTAGGCTATGGAAAAGTTGTATAGTTAGTTAGTGGAGGAGATGCAGATTTAAACGGGCACCGGATTGATCATCATGCAACAGATCGGCCAATACTATAGTTCGAAACTTCATTACCCATCCTTGTTTTATACATGTGCAGACTTCTTTAATACAGTCAAGACAATTTCATGGAGGCAGGACGCATGCAAATTTTTAGTTCTTTTAAGATTGCAAAAAGATAGTTTTGTTTTATAAAATTTTGTAAAATTCTTTTTTTGCACATTGCCGAATTTTGCATGGAAATTACACCTTTGCTGGACGAACCCCACGCATCAGATCGGCATACTTGGCACGAAAGTCAACACACTATGTTACCATGTGGAAAAAGCAGAGGATGATATTATTATATGACCATTAGAGCAAGTCTCGAGTAAATATCTGTACCTATCTCTTTACGAGTGTGTCGTCTTCTTATTCCATGGACGAATTTCTGCCTTTACTTTACCCATCATCATCTTTTACTCGTTTTGTTGCCTGGTTGGTTTTGCGAGATGGAGAGATGATCACGTATTGAGTTGTATGTATGTATTTTCTGTAGCGTAAAATAGTGGTATCATCATCGTCGTTATGTAACGTGCGGTTTTTCTGCTACACTAATTTTTTGATGGATTTGGGTTCACCGTGTTCGCTGCGTGGACGTATTGAACGAGAGATAATGAGTGTTCAATTCTGGATTTAGTTTTAGTTCAAGTCGAAGTTTAGGCATGAACATTCTGAAGTTTTTCTCAGGTTTTTTGTACATATTTGGATACGTAAAAATGCGAAAGATGTGCGATCTGTGGGTATCCATCCATCCATCCATTTTTTATCAGGATGAGGTTTTTGCACCAACTTTTTGGCGATACATAAATATCTTGTCAACCTAACCTTGTTTGACATGTGACAGGGATCTGCTCAAACTTTCAGTTTCATTCAAGAAAGAAATACCACTTCGCTTTTATTGAATTGAATCATGTTCTCACTTTAAACCTAATCGGAAAATTGTTTAGATAAATGAAATGTCTAAAGTCTTCGTGTAAATGAATTTACGAAGTTGGGGGATCAATTACTGGACTCTGTTACGTTGCGTACTGGACAACAGTGGCCGCGGAAGTGGTGGGGACATCTGGGGACATTAACATTGTAGGATGGGGGAGAGGGAAGGGTTTATATAAGATGGGCAGATGATGCGGACATCGAACAACCGTGGGGACATTGTCCCTCTGTCCCCACACACGCTTCCGCGGCCACTGAATCATGCACGAACACTTGAATAGCCTGAATTCTCCCAGCGGCTGCGGAAGCTTTGGGGACAATAAAATTGTAGAATGGAGGAGGAACATACATTCATGGATGATGCGAACATTGAACAACCGTGAGGACATTGTCCCTCTGTCCTCACGCACGCTTCCGCGGCTACTGTACTGCACTGGACAACAAGGTTAGGTTAGCAAACTTACCGAAGAAACGCGTTATACAGTAGTGCACTACAAAGTCTTTATGATTGTAATCAAATATTGAACTCGGTCGGATACATACGCGGCTACCACCCACATTGACCATGCAGCAGCAACAATATAATGTTCCAATCCACCTATAAACCTGCCCGAACCAGGCAGAATTTACGACAATTTTATGCGAAGTGCATAAATTTCGTATAGCACAGTAATCTCATTGTTTAATCCGATGCATTTACAGAGCGGAGATATAATAACGCTGAATTTACGAGGAAACCAATCCCCGTAATTTATGAATGCAACCCACGTTGTGGAAAAGGTATGAATCGAAATCGAAACCTGACATCGTCCATCCAATCCTGTTGAGTGTGACCTCAACAGTGGCCGCGGAAGGACAGAGGGACAATGTCCCCACGGCATCATCTCCCCATGTTATATAAACCCTTCCCTCCCATATCCTACAATGTTAATGTCCCCAGATGTCCCCACAGATTCCGCGGCCACTGAACCTCGAAGACCACGTGTATGGATGTATGGGAGGCCAGAATTTAAATCACAAATGAATCTTGGCTCTCGATTTTATATAATGTTGATCCAACTCTTGGAAGGGATGCAGCAGCCACCCGTTTATTTTTTGTGTACTCTCGGCAAGTCGGAAATCGTGGCTTGTTTTGGCAATTTGGAACCATTACTCACTTGGAACGGCAGCAAGGAAAACAAAACAAATGCATATGTAGATTTGTAAAAAAAAATTGTTCCCAGAAATATTATGGCATAGTTGGAAGGAAAGTGAGGAGCGGATAGTTGAGCTGACTATGTAGTAAAAAATGGAAAGGCTGGTGGAATTGTGCCCAATAATGTAATTTTAGTCGAAAATTTTGAATGTAACGGGGAACTAATTACTGTAAAATTTTGGATATGAATATATTTTCATGCATATTTTGCATTACTGACTGCATTTCTAATAGTCGAGCTGACTAATTTAAAGTCTCCTGAACAAATGGAAAGATTGAAATTATATCCAATAATTAAATTTTGGTTGAAAATTTTGGTTATCTTCGATGCAAAGTGGAACTACTTGCTGTAAAATTTGTAATATGAAAATATTTCCATGCATATTTTGCAATACGAATAGTTAAGCTGAATACATAGTTTAAAGTCTCATAAAAAATGAAAAAACTCAAATTGTGCTCTTTAATTTAATTTTAGTCGAAAATTTTAGTTACACAAGGGGCAACTAATTACCGTAAAATTTTCATACGAATATATTTTCATGCACATTTTGCATCTCGAATAGCTGGTTTCAGTTGGCTGACTACACGTTGCGTGTGCTGCAACACTTCATCACGTAATACGTCGACCACCGCCGCATCGAGGCATCAACTTTAATTTTTATTCCAGTCGACCTCTAATGAACCTCATTTTTATCATTTAGTATAACTTATGACCCTCAAATCCCCTTTTAATCCAAGTAATTGCACTTGCTGCTGGGCTGGACTGGAGGAATGGGCGAGCAGACTCATTTCATAGCCAAAATTATGTATGCATTCACATCACAGACTAAATCTCATGAAACTTTTGTGTTATCAAGAAAGTAATTGGTGGTGGATTGGATTGGATGGGATGGATGGATGCACTGATGGCCTTTAGATTTATCAACTTCTCGATTGCACATAGTGTTGACTGCCAAGCAGTCAACACGGAAAACGGAAGGGGTGGGGACATCGGGGGGCATTGACATTACGGGAAGGAGGGGTTTTCTGTATATAACTTGGGAAGATGATGGGGAGATCGAAAAACCGTGGGGACATTGTCCCCCTGTCCTCACGCTTCCGCGGCCACTGCATCATGTACATACATTTGAGTAGCCTGATTTCTTCCAGTGGCCGCGGAAGCTGGGGGACATTAGGATAGGGGAGGGAGGGGTTTGTATTACATGGGAAGATAATGCGGACATCGAACAACCGTGGGGACATTACCCCTCTGTCTCCTCTGTCCCCACGGCTTCCGCGGCCACTGCTGCC